AAACCGTATATTGCCGTAGTCGTGTGTTTATTAGTCAAGTTGAATCAATGAAAGCAGTTGAATCTTCTGCTTATTCAGCTGCAGCGATGCATGAGTTTCAGCGCGAGCGCCCTCTGGCCTTTGGATGGAGATTTACTGCTGATCACAGAACCGTGCTTCACTGAAAGATACGCATGACAATCGCAGCTTCTGTCGAATCGCAATCTCGATTCCATTTCGATTTATCGTGCAGCCCTACTGTAAAAGCAATAAACATTTAATCATATATCTTGTCAAGTCTTGTTACTTCTGGACTTTCTTTTTATTTTCGAAATAATTTTATGTACAAACCTATTAAAGAAGATTTATAGCATGATAAATGTGAGGATATTGATCTGGAAGAAATGGGGCCCATAAAGAACCTTTTCATCAGTTGTGCTTTAAAAAGAGTTATTTGCAGTACCAGAAGCCCTCTCTGATTCAAAGCGCAGGTCCAAACACGCATGCACGGAATCAAGCGCGCTATACTCAATATTTCACATAGGTTTATGTGCAATGACTGTAAAACTGTTACTCTTTCCATGCTGTTCATTAATTACATGAATTAAATGAGTGCATTTTACTTGGAAAATTGGGTCCCACTTTATATTAAGTGGCCTTAACTACTATGTACTTACATCAAAAAATAAGTACAATGTACTTACTGTGTTCATATAGTACTGCAAAACACTTGCTGCTATTGAGGTGGGAAACGGGTAAGGTTAGGGACAGGTTTGGTGGTATGGGTAGGTTTAAGGGTAACACCAAAACTGTGTCAGAAGCTGAAAGACATATCTGGATGTTTTTCAAATATGCAAACGGTTAGTCTGTAATCAACAGCCAAACAGAAGCAGGATGATTATTGAATGTCTGAGGAAACAAACAGTGATGTCAACAAAGATAAGCAGCCAAAAAGAAGCCAGGAAGTGGCCAAAATAACAAAGAGGAAGTACGTACAGTAAAAACACAAGCATAAGCAGAGCTCTGAAATTGTTTATAAAGTACAAATGTCACAGACAGAACTTCTCCCAGCTTTTTTTTTTTATGAAAACTTTCTTTTCCTGAAAATGTAAGCTAAACCAAAATATATAAATAAATACATAAATGCACGTCAGTCATCTTATAATAACTAATGATTAGGATATTTTTCTCTAAACACAGCAAAAAAGTTTAATGATTAACAGGAACAGCACAGATCCATGGTAATGAGTAACTCTAGAAAGGTCAGAGGTCGTTTACCATGTTTTTGGGGTTATTTAGTGCATGACCAAAAAACAAGCTGCTTTTGAGAAGTAAGAATTAGAAATTTACATTTTACATCCTTTGGCAAAAAAAAAAAAAAATGTGAGAGATCAAAACTCACTGCCATCATGCTGGGATGTTGCTATAGCATATATCCGGTTGCTTGGTCCATTTTTATGATATTTTGCTCTCCAACTTGGCCTTTATTCACTTATTTTATCATCCAACAAGTAAAAATCAAGTCTGATTGCTTAGAAACATAACTTCTCCTCAATAAGCACAGCAGCATTATTTGACTTCTCATTCCTGTCCGTATACCCCAAATGTGGAGTAGTTACTCAAGTTACTCAAGGTTTTAATGACTACATCTAACACCTAAGTAAATAACATTCTAACACCACCACAATCACTGTAGAAATGATCAGTAGCAGTTTGAATGAAGTATTGGGTCAGAATTACCAGATATTAACTGAGCAAACACTATAGTGCATCTTTGGACTGAATGACCGCATGACATGGTTAGATATTGGGAAAGAAACAAGTCTGGACCTTAGGGTTCAAACTTGAAAGGAAGGTCACATGACTCAAACCCTCCAGCTGGAAACAGAAGCTTGAGTTTGGGATCTGAGCATCACATGAGCTACAGGAGTCGATGCTGTTATCGTGTGTTATCACACAGCTAAAGAATCTTATCTTTGAGTAATACTCGTACCTCACGGAAGAAGAGTTTTATTTGTTGCAAAGTAAAATGATACTTTATTAAGGTGTAGTCAGATTTGCAAAATCCAGTCATTTCAATAGGAATCCACGCGACTGGGAATTTCACATACGGATGAAAGATTTGCCCATGCAGATTTTACAATAGGAAAAGAAAGTAAAAACGTAATCTTCCTCATTTTCTGCTGACATATAGATACTGGCTAATGTCAATCAAGAAACAAATTGATCTTTAGGCACTGTTTTTGCAAACTCTGGTTTGTTCATGATCCAATCAATCACAGTTGATAAAATCAGTCTACATTATTTTCTCACTAATTATCCTTTTGCACTGAGAAATACACCACATTACGGAAGCAAAATGGGGTGAAATTCATGTTTACTTTGAGTGACAGTCTAGAGTCCACAATCAAGAAATTATCAAATGTTTATGAAATACTGCATTCACAGGTTCCCACAGCTTTTTGCCAATTAATTTCTATCACTTTTCCAGTAGTTTGTGATTACTTATATATTTTTAATTAGGAGCCAAGCACCGAAGGTGCGTAGGCACTTATTGAAACCGTTAGTTTTCTTCTTCCGCTCTTAAGTCTATGGCAGTCCATAGAACCGCTTGTGGGAAAGTTGTGAAATTTGGCACAATGATAGAGGACAGTCTCATCATTAACCACAGCAAATTTAGTGTCTCTAACTCAAACTCTCTAGCGCCACCACTTGTCCAAAGTTTCACTAATGTTTATGCTAATAACTTTTGAACCATAAGGTCTAGAAGAAGAAAAAAATTTTCCTCTGAAAATTAAAAAAATCGTAAGGTCTAGTTTTTTCGCTATTTTTAGTAGTTCGAAAAACCTACTTTTTCGAACTCGTCCTAGACGGTTTGTCTGATTTTCACCAAAATTGGCTCAGATCATCTTCAGACCAGGCTGGCAAAAAGTTATGGAATTCAAGTTGATTAGTCAAACTGTTCTCAAATAATGCGTTATATCAAATAATAACGAATTTGACGAAGAGCATGTAAAAATGGATGTGAGGCTATATCTCCTCAATGGTTTGGCGTACTGAGACCAAACTTGGTGTTGTTAAAACAGCCATGACCTGAGGCAACCTACACAGTTTCGGCGCTGCACCACCTAGTGGTGAGGAGATTATTTTTTTTGTATTTTTGCTTATAACTTATGAATGGTTTGACCAAAATTCACAAAACTGATCTCTTTAGATTTGGTGCGGCATGCTGAGTCGAACCATACCCAATTTTCCCATGTCAGCCATTTTTTGCTTCGGCCAATTTGAATTTTGTCGTAAAATTCTATATTTTACGAATGCACTGGCATATCGTTACGAAACTTGGTATGTGTCTTCAGCACCATGCCCTGACAGTACTCAAAATCAAAGTCCCACCTTGTGGTCAAAAGTTATAATGAAGTTTCCAAAAATGCTAATAACTTTCGTTTCAATTAGCCTATATGAGTAATATAGGAGTAATGAGACTGGTCTTGATAGATTCCTTGGATCATGCCGAGAACATAGATAACAATTATGCCACAGTTGGTCAAACTTCCTGTCCGCCATTTTGATTTATGTTGTAAAACTACTTTTTCGAACTCCTCCTAGACCATTGGTCCGATTTTCACCAAATTTTACTCAGATCATCGTCAGACCATGCTGCCAAAATTTTATGGATTTCGTGCCGATATACAGAACGGTTATCATTTAACGCATCAACGAATTTGCTGGAATGATGCCAAACTAACGCATCAACGAATTTGCTGGAATGATGCCAAACTGCATCTGAGGCTGCATCTCTGCAAAGCTTTGACATATTGACACCAAACTTTTTATGTGCCATTGTCACGTCACACTGGCCATGCCACATCAATTTGGTCACAGCGCCACCTATTGGTCAAATGTGATAAACCATTCATTAACCACTAATTTCCAAAAATGCTAATAACTTTTGATCAAATGAGCCTATTGGAATGGAACTGGTCTCAAAATATTCCTTGGGTCTTGCCGAGAACATAGATATGAATTTTGCCATAGTTGGCCGAACTTCCTGTCCGCCATTTTGATTTATGTTGAAAACCTACTTTTTCAAACTCCTCCTAGACTGTTGGTCACATTTTCACAAAAATCGAGTAAAATTATCTTCAGACTGTGCTGACAAAAAGTTATGTATTTCGTGTTGATAGACAAAACCGTTTATGCATAGTGCCGCAACAAATTTGAGGCATGATGCCAAACTACGTTTGAGGCTGTATCTCTGCAAAGCTTTGACACTGACACCAAACTTTGTGTGTGCTATTGTCAACTAACACAGAACACACCACATCGATTTAACAACAGCACCACCTATTGTTCAAACGTGATAAGCCATTAAATCATATTACTAGAGGTTGTATTTATGATTTCAGACATTTTAACCAAAATCATCAAAAATGGCTTCAATTACTCATTTCTGCAGTTGGTCTGATGCTTGCTTCTGTAGTGCTTGGCCCCGAAATTGCTGCTTGCAGCAATATTTTTCATTACTTTTCCAGCTCTAGAAATCACCATTTTAAAATACCCAAATATTTCCCTGTTTTATACGATTTTACCAGGTGACTGTAATACCAGATGCTAGTCACCAGGTCAAAAAGAGTCTAAATGTCCTGTTCCTCATTTGAAATGCAAATAATGATGAATGAGATGGGGACTGAAATGTGGTTTGATTGAGTGAAAGAAAAACATTTCATAGGGCCCACATTTATGTGTATGCTATGTGTGTAGATTTGTGTGTATGCTGTCTAGGTTTTGTTTATTTAGGTTACTGAATGATATTATAATTATATTGTGCAATGTTACTGATAAAAAGTCATTAAGTTTCCTTATTGCTTGAAGCTTAAACACTTCAGACCTTGAATTAGCACACAATGAGTGACTTATACTGTCTTTTTACGTGTTGCATAATCAGCTCCAGGCATGACGAAGCGGATATAGTCCTCTTTTGGAAGGCCAAATAAAGTAGTTTCGCTTTCACATTGAAACACACAGTGCCTTCACGACATGGCCGCGGCGGCAACAACAATACTACAGCGAGAATAAAAGTTACGCCTTCTTTCTTTGCGTGAACATTTTGGCAGCG